TGTCTATACACTACAGTTGTCGCGTCGCGCCGCAACAGCTCTACACTGGACGCGACAAAGCGACCGTTGCAAACCATTTTAACTTTGTGTCGGTACGGTCATACGTCATAAATAGAACAAGGCATCAGTTTAATGTTGGGTTTTGTCGCGCCACGCTGCATCCAGTGTACACAGCGTCACTGGTTATAATGGTTTCTACTGTATTTTGCCGCTCGCGTCCGGTGTAGACACGGTGTTTAATGTTGTTGGTGAGGAGGAAAGCCTGTGTGTGTCCTATGCCTTAGCGGACGGCATGAAACCCACAAAAAATAAATAAATAACAGAGAGAGAATAATAATAATAGCAGTTATTCTTTCTATGCTATTTTTCAATGTTTCAAGTGATGCAGGTGTTTTTTTCCCTGTAGGTTTTTTTAAATTAAAAAAACATTAATTTTTCATGATGTTTAGTGAAATTATTTGGTAGTCTGAGGGGGGCGCAACCAAAAAAGTTTGAGAAGCACTGGCCTAAAGTTAACAGACAGTGTTTAAAAAGTGCAATCCACATGTTTACATATGTTTATTACAGTGACTTTGAATTACCTAAAGTAGTGTGGTAAAGCAACAGATTTGTTTTTATATTTCTGCAATCTACTTTAGTTTGTGTGATTTGTTACTGACTTTCATATTAAGAGTGAAAGCCCTGGTGAACTCTGACCTTGCTGAGGTTGAACTGCTGCTCTCTGGTGTGTTCCTCTCTGAACTTCGTCTCCCAGCTGCCCTTGAAGTAGATAGCGTTCACCAGCACCAGTCTGGTCAGAGAATCCACATCGCCCTCAGACAGAAGATCCTGGATCTTCTCTGTGATTACAAACCACATTCAAACCCACACAGCAGGAACTGAGCTTATTATCAGTGGTACAGCACGCAATCAATCCATAGAGCCACGGCACAGTAATGACAGTAAAGATCGTATTGTTTATCTTCCTACACAGCATTCAGTTTAACAGCGGTTCTTGCACCTTGTGTCTGCTTCTGCACCCAGCTGTTGATGTTGACACGAGCCGCGTCTGCATTACTGGTGAAGTCCACCGTCTCCAGCTCAGCCTCGTACAGGCTTCTTGTGTCACTAATGAATTTCTGTAACAACAGAGAGAAGGAATACTGCACAAATCACTGTGTACATTTCTGAAGTACAAATAAACCTGATTTTATTCATTTTTCTCTTCATTACTCATGTAGTGTTAACATTTGATAAAGGAGACATTTATCAGAGATTCAAGCACTATATTTACAGGAGCTGCATGTGTGGATAAACGAGCTCACCTCGATGAACGTGTAGGACTGCTCTCCATAGAGCCGACTGGCCAGACTCAGTGTGTACGGAGCTCCGGCTCGGTTGATCTCGCTCAGGAGTTTAGTGAAGCCAGCGTGCATTTCACCTTCTGCTTCAGGAAAATGCAAAGTCTGGAGACAAACAGTCAATGAGAGTTGCCTTCATGCTGAAGTGGCTGATAGTGAGCAAACCCTAACCCTCTTCATCTGCCATGTAAAACAACAAGAAGTTAAAAACAGTTATAGGCAAAAGTTTTTCATTAAGAAGAGCTGCCTTCACCTTTGCCTCGATGCGGTTCATGAGAAGTACAATGTTTAATCAAGAAACACTGAGAAGAGGAAAGACACCAAATATGACAAAGACTATAAAGATGACACACCTTCTGCATTCAGTCTTTATTAGTGACCCGCCACCAAAAGATAACTCGAGCCACTTCTGTGTTCAGCCCTGCTGACGCATGAGCACTGTGTTATCACTGTGGCCATGCCCTTTGACCCTCAGACTCACACAGCATTACATGATATTCATTTACATTCATTACACCAAAGGCTTAACCATCTGTTCAACCACTAACGTACTTCAGTTCCAGTTTGAAAGGTTTCAGATTACATTATGAACCGGCAGAACAAGCTGCCGAATTAAACAATCAATCTCACTACAAGCAGAGCTGTGTCTGAAATCTGTCAAATACAGCGCATTATATCAGCAGAAACTCATCGCTTGCACTGAAGATGAGATCAACATTAAAAAAAAAAAATCAGTTAACCATTTAATCTAACAAATTAATGTTTCGATTGTCATTCTGTCGAATCAAATTAGTTAATGAATTCATCTAAACGGCTTGCGGCTTTATGATTCACAAACCCTGGGCTGATAAACACAGACCATTGCACAACAGTTTACTGTCTTACTGTGATAACCACACACTGATCTTTCCAAAGCTGGAGCAGCTCCGAACACATCAGCTCTGTGACAGGAGAGTCAGAAGCACTCTTTTACAGTCCTGGACACTTCATCTTCACTTGTGTGGTCAGGTACAGACTGAGAGACACAGCTCCATCACACACGCAATCATGAATTCACCACATTAAAACATTGTAGTGTCTTTGCTCTCTTTATAGTGTTGGGAAGTACTTATTACTCTATTTGAATTGTTCCATTTAGATAAAGATTAGACGCACAGGGGAACTTTATGAATCCCAAATGAAGATGTGCTGTAACTGACCCGGGACATCTGAGACGCCGTGTTTCCTGCAGCTCCGAGAGACAGCATCGAGAGAGCAGCAGAGATGCTGAGAGGAGAGTAGAAGACATTTACTGACGCGTGTCCCTCAGAGATCTTCTGGAAGAGACTGAGAGAGAAGCGTGTGTGCGCCGCGGACAGATGCTCCATTCCGACACACTGAACACAGACAGACAGAAGAACATCATATCTGAGAACGGATGATCACTATGAAGAGGAACACTTTGAATACTAAATACACATGCATACAATCTCCATTTCAAATCTATAGCAAGCTATATTTGAACCCTCACAGTTGTTTAGGTTACATTTCATGTACTTCCTCGTTGTCTGCGCGCATCGCTCTCTCAGCTCATTGGACAAACGAACAGCACAAACGACTGTGATTGGCCGACTTTGACCAAACTACGCGCAGAACGGCTTGACGCATAAATACATGACTCGAGGCAATAAAACATCGCACTTTTGCTGAAAAAGTGACTTTAGATGTTTACGTTTATCGTTGACAAAAACAAAAAGCATCGAAACGCGTCGTTAAAGTTTACATGAATTATCTTAGTATTTCAGCGTGTTGTTCTCTATAACGTATTCATTAATAACTATCAAAATGCTTTAATTGTCTTGGTGATCTGAATCATTAGAGTTACTCACATGCTGTAAAACGGGTCTTCAGTTTGAGGAACTTCCGCAGTGAATGAATCGCCGGAGTGACCGAGTTTATATGAGCAGCAGACACACCCTCATGAACACACTCACACACACCCCCATGAACACACTCACACACACACACACACACAC